AAGGTGGTTTGGTAGGTTTCTGCTTCGGGGATGGGAGGTCCCAAGCTGTAACTTGCTAGCTGTGTGACTCTAAGTCCAGTTGCTTTCTCGCTCTTAGCCTCAGTTTCTTCAACTGGAAAATGGGAATGTTAATAGGACCTTCTGCAAACATGGTTGTGAGGCTTAAATGGAGCAAATGCCGTCCTCCTAACGCATCACTGGTCATGTAGGAAGCACTCAAGAAATGTTACTTATAGTTATTGAATGGGTTGTTGAATGGACGTGACTCATTCTGGGTGTTTGGAGGCATTGTGCATTTAGGCATCATCCAAGGAGGGGACCAGGAATCAAGGAGCTAATGCCTGTATCTCCAGCCCCTGATGCCCTGCTCTGTATCGAAGAATTGGTCTTTGCAGCAGGCCTGTGACAATACGAAAGCTGACAGCTGGTTGCTCACTGACAGCTCGTCTCTCCTTTACCCTTGGTCTCCATCAGCCTCTCCTAGTTCGTGTCTCTTTTTTGAACCTCCCTTCTGAGAATTGGCTCTGTCTGGTCGAGGGGTGGGGAGGGGTGTTCACAGATACTGCTGGAGAAGGGGCAGTCTTTGTCCCACCAGAGGGGACAGTGAGAAAGCAGAGAGTCTCAGGAAATGAAGTCTGGCTGAAGTCACAGTTCTTGCCTCTCCCTTGAAAGGAATTGAGTCCCTCCAGAGAAAGGATGCCAGACCAGGTGTCTGGAGCAAAGCCTTCTCCCTCAACCTTATTTCCTGTGCCCGGGGCACGTGGCTTGGACCCAACGAGCAGTAAGGACACGTCGTTGAAAATAACAGAGCACCCTGGCTTGGGGAGCTGCCGTCTCAGTCACACCCTGGCTCACTCAGCCTGAGGGAGGGAGCGAGGTCTTTGCTTCCGCCTCAGTGTTCCGGACAGGAGTCCAGTGCCTGAGCTGTTCACAGAATTGGCAGGAGATCGGCCAGACTGAGAACCAGCTCAGATAACCTGCTGGTAACCTGGGGAGATTCCAGCCTCCTTTTTAGGGCGAGCAATTGCCCATGGGCTAGAGGTGAGCAGTGTCACCGTGGCCACCAGGACGAGGAGCAGGTGCTTTATCTACACCAGTAAGCCAGTATTTCCAGTAAGAGGAGGTACATTTGGTAGCTTTTACCAGGTTCCCAGCTCTTTTCTACACACTGAGCTGGATGACCTCATTCAGTCCTCTCCGTGTTCCTTTGAGAAACATGACAATTGTCCCATTTACAGAGACCGTCTCATGAGTAACGTGGTCAAAGTCACCAAGCTGGAAGATGGCAAAGCCTGACTTCACACCCTGCCAATCCTCAGCCCATCCTTTTAGCCACATCACCGAGCAGATTTCTTTTAAAGTTAGGAAAGAAAATGACACACCAACACACACACACTCTTGACAACCATTGGTGGCAAAAATGCGTAACGGTGAAATTTTACAAAATAAGGGGTGCTTTTTCAGGAATTTCTGTTTTATTCCTCAAAACAGCATCTACCTGCAATAGGTACTAATCTTGTGTAGGTTGTAAGAGCTCTTGTTTATTTGATCTAGACACAGTGCCTGGTGTGCGCTTGGATTTTCTGACCCTTGGCGATCATTCCCAACCCCTAGTGGGCTGCAAGGATCTGGTCCTTCCTCCCTACTTAAGAGTATGGCTGGCAAAAAAAAAAAAAAAAAAAAGAACAACAAAAAAAAATAGTCCTGTGGATACTCGAAATGTGATGCTTAAAGGTGGCACTGTTGGCATTAGGCAGGGGTGCATTCTAGGGACCAGAGCTCTGGTCCTGGTTCTGCCTGTTTATTCATTCTGCTGCATCTCGACGTGTGCTATTGAGAAAACAAAATTGAACTGATGGCAGCTTTCTACCTCCTAAGGAGTCTAGCAATAGAGAACACAGAACAGGAAACAGCCCTAGAGGTACCCTCTCACATAGGAAAGGGCTCACATTCAGAGTATCTTACACACTTTCTGCTTGAGCTCCTCCAGCAAGGTCTTGACCACCAGAGACAGCCAGTGCCTGGCTGGACTGAGATAGCTGTTTGCACCTCTTCCTGGGGCCCTGTTGTGTTACTCATTCGTCCTGATTCTCTGCCCCAGAACCACCGTGATCGAATTCAGTCCTTCTACATTGAAGGTCCTTGATTAACTACACGAAGATGATCATTTTCTTTGCCATTATCCCTTCCTTTTCCAGGCAAGTTGCCGTCTCATTTACTCTCCTTGTAGAAGGCACTTCCAGATAGCCCTGTAAACTCAACATCATTCTTGAAGTTCGATGGCACATCTTTCTAAGTAATAATAGGGCTATAATTTACTCTGAGCTGTTTTCACCTTTCATTATAGCAACTAACAAACTGAAGGCCACTGCAGATAGGAGAGGGGATGGTTTGGGTCATGACATAGAGCTTGCCTCGTCTTCCCAAACTGCTTTGACAGGAATCGACTTTGACTGGTGTCATTCTCTCTGGGTTGGAACCACATGTTAGTGGTAAGAGTAGGCGTGTTTAAAGGTTGATCATTTCAGCTGTAGCAAAACTCCTACCAACTGCCAAGCAGCAACTCTGCAAAGGAGGCAATCTGTAGCTGAGAAGCATTATTTTGTCAACATGTGCCCTGACCACTGATGCTTAAATTCCTCATACTTTCTGCCATAGGTGAGGAGATCAGGAGGTCGAAAGGGAAAATTGGGGGCGCAGGAGACCCACGTGTGAGTCCAGGCTTCTCTGCCTTCTGGCTCAGATCATGAGCAAATAAGTTCTTAAATTCTGTGAGTTTTAGTATTCTCAGTCATAAATAGATACGACTAACAGCCCCCCTTTTGCCAGGTGGCTTAAAGAAGGAACGCTTCCTAAAAGTGCTCTGCAAAGTGAAAAACATCATACAAATGTTACATATTAATGTACACGGAGGAGACGTGAAAGGAAAGACACTTTCTTGCTCAAACTAAATTCTAGACCAGGAATAAAGAGGAGAGATTTGGGGCTAGGAATCACTTAGTAACAAGTTAATTATGCAAAATCTAGAAAGCTTTCCAGGTAGCCCCTTAACGTCCCAGAGGGTTTCTTTTACCCACCAGCCGTTGCAGCCATCCAGCTATGTACGCAATGATGCTGACTTTCAGACCGTATCATAAAGTGGCTTTTCCATCCGGTCTCCTTATTCTTCAGTCATCCTGAAACGATCCCTGGTCACTAGCTTCTTCTCCTTCCTTCCTTCTACAAATTTTTCCTGAATGCCCTTTCTAAGCCAAGTACCAAGTAAGTCACCAGGGAGACAGCCATGGGCAAGACATGACAGTCTGTGGGAGACAGGCATTGCACAAAAATTACTGAATTGCAGTTGCAATCGGTGCTGCCAAGAAAAGAAAATGTTGAGTTCTCAGAGAACCTGTAACAGGAGAATGTAAGGATCATCTTGGGTGTTGGCGATGATTCCAGGAGATAGAGTGCGTTGCCCTTGCAATAATTAACTAATCAATGTGCGTTCCACCCTTTCAACTTTAGGACACATGTTCTTACATGTTCTGTCACTTGATGGGCTCTCACATCAGCCCTACAAAGTACACAGTGTTCTCACCCTGTTCCAGAAGTCAAGAAACCCAGGCAAAGTGATGATTCCCAAGGTCAACTCGTTCTATCCCTTACAGAATTTTTGACTCTAAATCCTGGGCTCTTTCCACCCCACTCATTGGCTCACTGGCTTCTCTTTCTTGAGAGTTGACATTTTGGGAAAAGTGACTTTGAGAAAAAAAAAGATCAGCAGGGGAAAACACTCACCTTTCCTGGGAGACACGTGGGTGGAGAGTCCCGAGGTTGGTCTCAGTCACGTGGCAAGAGGAAGCCCACTGAGATGTGAAAAGACATCCTACGTGCTTGGTGTGCGTTGCAGTCTTCACAGTTGCCCACAGAACTGAAAACCCTCTCTGACCCCATAGGTGGACCCTGAAGTCTTACCTGTGCCTAGAGGAACAGGTGTGACCTCTGTCAAAATGAAACACACAGAATATCAGTCACCTTTCCTGTAGGAAACCTAGCTATTCATTGACTTCTCACAGCATCCAGAGTCCCCTCGATTTACATGTGAATTGATCCTCAGAGCCTCCATCTGTTCCCTGCTTCCTGTGTCCTAGGACTCTGTGTGCATTCACCCTTGTATGGACCTGCTGAAACAGGCATCTGTTTGCATCTGCATTGTGCAGATGAGATAACTCAGGCTCAGAGAGATGAAGTAACTTGCCCAAGGTCACACAGCTTGTAAATTGGAGAGCCAGGATTGGAACCCAGATCTGACTCCAAATTCCATGCTCTCACACACTCTGTTCTACCACACTCCCTCCCCCAAAACTAAAATAAATTTCAGACCCACTTCCTGCACTTCCCTTCTGGGGTTTCTAGTATTTAAAACCAGGAGAGGCTGCAACAGCCTCGGGCCAGTTTTGAAAGACTCCCACCCACAGACATCCACCCCCCTCTGGGCTAAGGGTGCCCACCCACCACATCCCCTCCTCTTGAAGAGAGGAAAGGGAAACTGAGAACTCAAGGATTCATTTAGGACCAACCTGCAGCCAAATTACACAAAGACCCCAAGGTACAAGAAGTGACAATGGCCTTAGTTGCTTTGCTAGACTAGTGAGCCCTCGCTAATCGGTTTGGGTTTAGCTACAGTCATTTTTCTCCCTTTTAAAGGGAGGGAGGAAAATGCAAATCTCTCGCGGCAGCTCCAGAATTTCAGTCAGTAAAACTTTGCTCTTTCCCTCTCCTCTTCTCCCTCCCTCCCTCCTCCCTCCCTCTCTCTCTCTTTCTCTCCAAAGAAGTGGTTCTGGCTTGTGGGGGGAAAAAATTGCAAACAGATTTTAGTTTTTTAGTACCTTTCTGTGTTTCCCGGTCAACTCCGTGTGCCAGCATATTGTCCTAACTCTGACGGTGACACAGCATTGAGCTGTGAATAATTAAACATAAACACCAGCCTCACTTCCATCCTCTTCTTTCCTCCTTAGGTGAAGGCAGCTTCCAAGTATGTGGATGTACCTGTGAGTATCTGAACATTGCTTTTGTGGGGTTTTGGGGTTGTTGGGTTTTTTTTTTTTTTCTGGCTTTCATGGGAATTTTGACAGTGCCGTTTTCATTAGTTCCTGCTAAACTGTATCTTCCTGACTTGAATCACCAGAAGAAAGGAAGCCAAGAATATTTCATGGTACAATTGTTTTGAGACGAGAAGAGGGTATGGTTTCTTTCAACAGGAAAAGAGATCCAATTTGAGGGTAAACCCAGTTCACTTTCGTTTTCGTCTTTGTTGGTTTCTCGGGTCTATTTCATTCTGTCACCCCTTGGGCTCCCCTCCCCTCCTGCGTGCACACCTTGGGAGTAGGGCCTTGAGCTAGAAATTTGCACAAGGGTGCCAGTACTTTTTTTTTTTTTTAAACAAATTCTGAATTTGTTCATTTTGGGGTCGATTCTGCAGTTGTTTTAAGGAAACCTCACAAAACTGCTTATAATTAGTGCAGACCTCATTAATGGAGAGAGCTCTCAAAGTTCACAGATAAAGCACTCAAAGTTGCCCAAAATTTACATTTAAATTGAGGTTAAGTACTACACATGAATGCTGGAGTGTGGGATTACCTGGGATAAATCGGGGATACACTTATAGGCCGACTTTGCTCTGCCTATTAGCAAAATAAAATTGGAGAGATTTAAATATATTCCAATAAAGGGGGAAAGAAAATGATTCTGTTTCTCCATTTCTAACAAAAGAGGTGCGAGTCTCTATTATGAAATATTAAATTTAGAGAGCTTATCTCAACAGCCACCACGGGTCTTGTAGTGAATGTTTCTCATTCTGAACGTGGTTAAGTACCCTCCTTGTTCAAATACTTATTTGTTGAAATTTGTTTTTTTTCTAAAAGGATTTATATTAACATTTAAATTCATTTCCCCAGGAAGCTAAGTGTATAATGGTTTATTGGCTTATTTCTCAAAGGAGGGCAAAATGGAAAACTGGAGTGAATTTAGCATTAGAATATATTTTGTTTGTTTAATGAAAGAATGTACAATCAACAATTATGCTTTGAATTTATATAATACTTGTCCTCGGGGGACCTCTGACTCCTTCGCGTAGATAGTCCTTAGAATGGAGAAAAGAAAAAGTGCACATACCTGGAGCAAGGAGAGAAGTTAAGTAATTTATTTTCCCAAGCCCCAAAGTATAAACTTTCATTTCTCAGGGAGCGAACAGCTCAAATACTCTGAACCTGTTTCTCCATCCTTAAGATAGAGGCAATGATACCCACGTCACAGATTCGCCGTGAAGACTTAATCACACACACACGTGGGACATTCTGCACCATACCTGGAGCTCACTAGATATTTCAGCAGCAAGAGTGGGGCCTTTGGGTTGAGAGAAGTGCGGGGCCGGGGGCGGGGTGGGGGGGCGAGTCTCTGCTCTATCGCACAGTGTGAGATGGGGGATGAATTTGCTGACATCAACCCTGGCTACACTGGTCTTCAACAATAATAGAAATTGAAATTCTAGCCTCCAACCCAAAGATCTGGTAGCTGAAGTCTCTTTTCTGTTCACCTTAAAGCAGGGGAATCTTACCAGGGAGCTTTGAACAGGTGGCCAGTAGACAAGACCCAAATACTTGGAAAAAAGTGACCTGGCAACTGGTAGTATCAACTGAAAATATTAAGGAAGTCAAATAATTTGGAGGGAGGTCAAAAAAAAAGTCAGGTCTTGACAATTTCATTTGGTTCAGCCTAATTCCTACAAGCTAGGTGCAGAGTCATTGTAAAGATGAGATAAAAATGGACTCTCCATCAACGTGCAAGGGAACAAAAATGAATTAGCAAAGTTTCCTCCCTCTAAAGAGGCACCAGAAAATGATGCAGCACATCCCCAAATGTGGTCCATTTACCACCGATGATATACAGTATCATCCTAACAGCGACTGCAACCAAACCATATAAAGCAGCCACTGTGCACAAGGCACTGTTCTAAGCACTTTATATTTAATCTGCACAACAGTCCCACTTTAAGGATGAAGAAACTGCAGCACAGAGAGGTTCACATGCTCAGGATCCCACAGTTGGTAAGTGGCAGGGCTGAGACTTAAACACGATGTCATCTGCAAGATGATTTCCATCAGTGCAGAGACAAACATCTTTACTTGGATAATCGAGACATTATTTTACTGAGTATTGGAAAAAAATACGACTGGAACATCATATGTGCTCTTTCACCATGATTTCACCAAGTAGCATGGCTTAGGACAAAGCTAAACTTCAACTTCATCAAACTATTTTTATAGCAAATAATACTATAATAAATGTTTTACTAAATAAATAATTTTTTGGAAAATAATAGTACATTAACTCACAGGTCCTATATGCACATTGCTTATTTCTCAAAATTCTCCTCCTATGAGGGGAGTAATGTTATCATCCTGTTTCACAGCTGAGGAAACTGAGTCACAGGGAGGTTAAGTGACACGGCCAAGGTCACCTGACAAGTAAGAGGGAGAGTGAAGATTCAAGTGTGAGCAGTTTGATCTGTAGAGCCCGCTGACACTGGCTTGGAAGTGTCAATCGTGCCCATTTCTTTCCAACTCTGCCTTCAGAGAGGGCACACTGGTAGCTCAGATTCAGCCATGGAGAGAGTATTTACACCATGGAAATTGGCAGGCACTGCAGATCAAGGTTTGTTGTTTCGTCTTGTTTTTGTTTTTGCTTTGAAGAGTCAGTTTACCAGCTCCCCCATGACTATCACCTGATGAGTCAGTGGTCCCCAAACCAGAATGTGCGGAGGTGATACCTGGCAAAAGCTTTTTGGTTTGTGTTCTGTTTGTTTGTTTGTTTTTAAATAGAGATTCCCAGGCCTTTGCCTCTCGAGATTCTGACTCAGTCATTCTGGGGTGGAGCCTGGAAATCCCTGTCTAAAAAGCTCTCCACCCGAGTCTGATACATACCGCAAGGTTGGGAACCATGGACTAAATCAGTGATTTTTAACCTTGGTTGTATGGAAGCATCTGGGGAGCTTTTACAAGGACTAGTGTGAGGCTGTTTGCCAATTTAAAGCAAAATCTCTGGGGGTGGGAGTCTAGGCATTATTTTTTTTTTAATTGAAGTACAGTCAGTTACAGTGTGTCAGTTTCTGGTGCACAGCAGTGTCCCAGTCATACATATATTCATTTTCATGTTCCTTTTCATTAAAGGTTAATACAAGGTATTGAACATAGTTCCCTGTGCTATACAGAAGAAACTTTTTAAATCTATTTTTATATGCAGTGGCTAACATTTGTAAATCTCAAACTCCCAAATTTATCCCTTCCCCACCCCCTTCCCCCAGTAACCATAAGATTGTTTATTATGTGTGCAAATTTGTTTCTGTTTTGTAGGTGAGTTCATAGTGTCCTTTTTCATTTGTTTGTTTTTTAGATTCCACATATGAGTGATACCCTATGGTATTTTTCTTTCTCTTTCTGGCTCACTTCACTTAGAATGACAATCTCTAGGTCCATCCATGTTGCTGCAAATGGTGTTATTTTATTCTTTTTCATGGCTGAGTAGTATTCCATTGTATAAATGTACCACAGCTTCTTTATCCAGTCACCTGTCGATGGACATTTAGGTTGCTTCCATGTCTTGGTAATCGTATACAGTGCTGCTGTAGGCATCGGTATGTTTTAAAGGTTCCCATGTCCTCATTTGCAGCCAGGTTTAAGAACCATTGGATAAAATCACCTTTCTGCTTGTTTCTAGCTCCAAAGACTCTGAGTTCACCTCTGTTACCGTGTAAGGTTTTTGGCCCATGGTCTATTGGTTTAGTTCCTTGTGGGTACTAGCAGTTCGTTACCTCAGAGGTTATCTCTTAATTGTCTACACTAGTAGAAAGAAGCACTGATACTAGACATTCAAAATATTGTGTAATCCCCAGAGCATATCTCTTTGTCTTAGATGTAGTATCCGACCCTTCCGTGCAAAGCAGACTTGCATTCCTAATTAGGGCTTGCTTTGGATGCTGAAAATTTGAATTCGTTTTCCTCAAGCTCAGAAATATCCTGAGAGGAGCAAGCTCTGGTTAAAACGCCCTATGTTTTCCAAGCCACCAAGTGGCTTCCTCACAAATGATGTTTTCCATACGTGGATAGAGTTAATCAAACAGAGATTTATTTATTCGTTGTGTGCTTAATTATTTTCTAAAACCTACATCCTACATCCTGTTCCATCAGTCTCTCCAAACCACATTTAAAATAAACAGCGTAACTGTGAGATATTAAAAGCCATCGCCTAAAGTTGTTCCCATTGTGTGTAGACAGCAATGTGGTATAGAGCTTAATTTATCTCTTAGCCTTGGTTGTTTAGTCAAAACTATGTTCCGTCTGTAACTACAAGTTAGCTTGTTGGTCTGTAAACAGGTTTTTAACCATTTTGGTTGGAAATCGACTTAGAATGCACTGCACAGCCTTCCCTGCCTTTTAAAATAGGAAACTGACAGTAATTTAACCTTTTTTTTTTTCTGTGATCAAGGATCACCACTGTGACTGTGTCTTTCCCCAGTGGCCACATAGTGACCCACTCCCCCAAGGGGCTCCTGAGGTCTAGGGAACTCTGCCCTCGATGGCCCCAAACCTCATGCTGCTGGGTCTACATGTCTGGTCTACAGGTTGGCAGCCTTTTCCCTCAAGCTCAGGGCATCAGGAAGAGAGTCGGTGCTCATTTATCAGCACACCTGTTCCCAGTAGGATCCCTCATCCCTCTTCCTGGTCCACCAAAGGCGGGAAAATAGACTTGTTGGAATTGGACATAAATCTGTTTCAAAAGGAAGATGGTTGTGAGCAGGGACCTGAAGACTCTGAGAAAATTATACACATTTTCATACCAAGACTCCGTCTTTTTTTTTTTTTTGATGTTGGTTTCTCCAAAGCCCCTTTTTTCTTCTTGGCTCCAAAGTAGATTCCAAAGGTAGGTCAGGCCATGAAGTGATATAATTTTGTGTGTTTGGTGGGGGGAGGGGGAGAATCACAGCAGCTCATGTTTGTATAGCAGTTTATGGCTTTAAGGCATTTTCACATCCATTATTTTAGCTGTTGATTATGATTATCCTCGAAGGTAAGTAGGGTAAGTCCCATTTTGCAGATGGTATAACCAAGGCCCAGGGAAATTGAAATGATTTTCACAAGTTCCAATTTGTGGGGAGATCCAGTAAAAATCCACAGTGTGACTGAGAGGCTTAGACAAGGAGATGGAGCAAGAGCTTATTCATTCATGACTTCTTTCCTTCACTAAAAATTTACTGAGCACCTACTCTGTGCCAGGCATCATTTATGTGCCAAGGATACAACTGAAAATAGATCAAATAGACTCCCTGTGTTCATGGAGCTTATGTTCTCGTGAGAGAAGACAAAAACCAAACCAATAAATATATAGTACAATGTTGGATATTGGTACGTGCTCTGAAGAAAAATAAGAGTCAAAAGATGGAGAACCATGGAGTTTTGTTTTATTTTTTTAACTATCTGGGTAAGCTGAACCACGCTGATTTTTTCTTTCAGTCAAGTTTTTTGAAATTTAAATGCCCCTTTGAGGACAGTAATTTAGTGAGAAGAGAAGGAGAGGTGAAAATAATGGTTATTGAAGAGCACGGTTAGCAACAGATCTGCTGAATTTGGCTTTGAATCTTAGCTCTAAGATGGCTGCGTGTGTCCGGGAAAAGGCTGTTGTCTGCCACTAGCATCAGGGAAGAAATGGAAACAGTAATAATAAGTTTCTCAAGTGCCCCAGGTAGGGGTCCCCATCCCTACTGAGGATGCCTTTGGAGGCAGGGCTGCCAAAGGGAGAAAAGGAGAGAGATGCCAGTTGAGAACTGATAGCTGTCACTTCCTTCTCATTGGAGAACCTCTATTGTTTCGTATCATAAAACTGCAACAATTATAGGACCATCACACAACCTGCTCAATCCATTTGCTGAAAATTGCTTGAAAGTGTAACAGTTGACTACTGTGGCTTTGGGTTGTCCTCATTGTTTTTCAAATTAATACCTTGTCATTGTTCCAGCAGGTGTTAAGAAATGTTACTAGCATCCCAGGGGCCAAGCATTGGCCCTTTGCTTGATAATTGTTTGCTTTGTATCAGGAAAGAAAAAAAAAAAAACAATCCTACTGTTTCCAAACCTCCCTCATTTTCACCCTGGAAATTACACAGAAGTGTTAACTAACTTCAATTTGCAGTGCCTGACAGTCACGTCTTGTAGAGAAATGATACTTTGTGATCTAAGGTAAATCACAGTAATGAAAACTCATCTTTTTAGTTATTAGCAAACATACATCTCTACTGTGGAAATTTAAGGGGTGTATGGCAGCTCTCCTAATGACCCATATTACAGTGTTTTAATAGGTTTCTTTGGAGGTAACTTTGATTGCAACATCTCAAGCAGTGTGCATTGTTACTTTCTTTTTTTTTTCTTACAATAAATCATTTTGCAACTACTGGATGAATCACCTGCTTACCTCTCCAGAAAATCTCTTTTATTTAAAAATCAAATTCTTCCCCCTCCCCATCTTTTTTTAATCCTTGGACTATGAGGCTGTATTGGGAAGCAGCGACAACTAGTTGAATGTCTCCTCTGAGGAAACTGATTAGGAAATTAGGAAATACTCATTATATACTCAAGTTAAAGTACCCCCAAAACTATGACTTGGGTCAGAGGGGGTACCGGTTAAAAGAGTGTTTCTTTACTTGGCACTACCTCAGTTTTTCGAAGAGGGGATCAGGGAAGGCTGTCAACTTTCTAATGTTAAGTTAAGATCAGAGAGTAGAAGACGGAGTATGTTTGAGTATTTTGCAATGGAGGTTTCAATCCAGAGAAAAACCAGAGAAATATCTCTGGGTTATCCAGTGAAGATTTATCCATTAGAGTATCTTTGGTGGAAAAAAAAAATTAATAGTAGAACAACAACAAAAAAAAAACCTATAAACATCTTCTTAGCCAGGTTGGATTTCTGGAAAGAGCAGGAGATTGGAGTTACCAGTTCTTGGACTCTCCGGCCAGGCTGTGGGTAGCAATATTGTGTGCTGTGGTTAGCTCTCAGCTCCTGCAGAGAGCCTGAAACTCCGGCAAGTGCTGTGCGGGGAGGGTGGGCTGAGGCACGGGGCGCCAAACTGCACGGGGAGGCGAAGAAGAGCCACTGTCTGAGAATTCCATTTTCATGTTTTCCTGTCTCTTTACAGAAACCCGGGATGGACGTGGCCGATGCCTATGTGACTTTCGTCCGCCACTCTCAGGATGTCCTTCGTGATAAGGTCAATGAGGAGATGTATATAGAAAGGTTATTTGATGTAAGTAAATGCCTTCTCCTCCTTGAAAGCCAAGGAGGAGACCCTCCAAAATGTGACAAAATAAGAGACAGGAGGATAAGTCACATTTTGAGAAAATGGATCGGTCCCGATGCAAGCAAAACCTTTTCCTCGCCCTCTGCCTTAGGCTCTTCTCTGTCGTGTGTCTGTTCCGAACCCACCCTGGCGTGGCCCTGTCTCAGTCCCAGTCTGTGTGATACACAGGACGGCGCACAGCCTCGCAGCAGCCAGGCTCGTTTCTGCTAGAAGCTTGTGAAGCAGCTTCCTCTCACTGGCAAAGACCTTCCTTGGTCATGGTTCTCCTCCTTGCAATCTGGCCTCGCTTTAGGGAGATGTTCCCTGTTGTCTGGGAGGCTGGGACCAGCCCCCTCTCCTGAGGGTGGGACCTCCTTGCCACCAGCTGGGGTGTGGAGCTGTGCGGTAAATGTTGCACTGTTACCACTTCCAAGATGATTCGGTTTCTGGAAGACGAGAAATCCTTACTTAGCCCTGGGTTTTGGCAAATCCTTTATGATCGTTCCTTGGTCATTTGCAGTTCTAAATTGAGGTGCCCCTCACCCTAACCCACCCACTTGAGAATTTGGGAGAAGAAGCAGGTGTACAAAGAGCAGATCCAGCAGGCTGCCAGAGCCAGACCGAACTGCAGAAAAAGCAGGTTTCTGAGGGTTAATAGTTACCAAGCAATCTTATTTCCGCTGGGACGACATCTGTACTTCCAAAGCAAGCCACTGAGGCAAAAGAGCAAAAAAAAAGGAATCTGCTTCGGTCTCTTTCAGGCCAAAGCAGGTGGGACTGCCTAATTTAGCCAGAGATTCTGTTGCAGGTGTCCAGTGTAGACCCGGCCCGAGTTTGCCAGTGTAGACCCGGCCAGAGTGCATGGACGCGGACGTATTTGTCTCCATGTGGCTCTGAATGTACAGCCTACTTCTGTCTCGTGCAGCGTGATCATCTCCTGTCCAGGTTTCTGTATTTTTAGTGCCAGCCCGAACATTAATGTTTTGGTCTACTATGGAATCCGTGTTTCTATAATTTTTCTGTGACTGTGTTCAGCAATTTACATTGAGTTTGTGTGCGTGTGTGTGTGTGTGTGTTTGTTCCGTGGCTCAGTGAGCTCATTGTTGGCACCGCTTAAGAATCTGCAGCTCCTGACTTTTTATCTGCTTTGTCTTCCAGCTCATTTGCTTTCCTCGTGTGTTGAAAAGGCTCCTGTCTTTTTTTCCCTCCCCCTCTTTTCCAATCATCCCCTCTCTGTGCTCAATACCGCTGTCCCCTCTGCATCACCTTTCTTCGAGAAAACCCTTCTTACTTTTGAATTCCCACCCGTCCTCTCTCGGATTAAAATGGAACTTATCTCTCATGTCAAATGTTTTATCACATTATATCAAGTGGCATGAATTAGAATCAAATAATCTTCCTGTGTACATCTTCTAGCATGGCCCACATCCACTGAGAATGCCTCATACATGCATAAAGCTCACCGGCGGGTCCTCTCCCTTCTCTGCATGCGTGCCTTTTTGAAAGTACCGAGCCTAGAATGTCTGGGGCGCAATCACCCAGCCGATAGGCATTGAAAGCCGGCAGGCAGCCCCCTCGGGTCTGCAGTGTGGAGCGTGGACGCTCTGCCCATCTCCGCTGAATGAAATTCCAAGCCACTAATTTTCGAGAAGCCCGTGGGTTGTTCTTTTCAATGCCTAGGTTGCCTTCTTTTTTTTTTTTCCCCTTTGATCGGTATCTTCTGATTCTCAATTTTGTGTGGCCCTCGCGTGCATATGCGTGCGTGCTCCTGTGTGAGCGTGTGTGTGAGTAACCCCGTGCTCTCGAAAACTTCTCGAACATCTAGTCCTGAATTTGACATTTAATCTGCAGTGAAGCCTGTGGCTTCGTTGACAAATAACCCACCCTTCCCTCTTTATTTTTTTTAATGAGCAATACAAGGGGGAAATTTTTTTTTTTTAAGGTAGCTTGGTTGAAGACAGCAAGGCAAATTGTCCTTTCCTGGGGTATTTTTAAAGGCAAAGTACAACGGAGTCTTTATTTTAAAAAGTAAGAGTGTAGCCTTGGCTAGCACAGATGGTGAAACTGGACTTGCCTGACTGTTGAAGAACACGCGCAAATTCAAGCCCTCTGGTCATTTCTGTGAATTCGTAATGAAAAGAAACATCACCGAGAAGATGTTTTTCAGGATGCAAATTATGTTTAGGGTCACTTAAAAATTCACAAGAATGTCAAGTCCCTTGTGGAGTAACACTGACCGGCATAAAGTGGCTTCAGTAACATTATAGGAATCCCCACAATTTAGTCTCATGTTGTCCCAATGATGTTTGTCCCAGGGGAGTCTTAATTACGCTCCCCTGAGTATCGGATTTTAAAACTTAACCATTACAATCATTCACTGAACCTCACTCCCCTGCCCCTGGTGGGAAAAAAATCTTTCAGTAGCTTATTTAGACATAATGAATTTCTTTGCCATTTACTTCCTTCCTTCCCAAATAACCTGCTCCCCTAATTTACAGAATATTGGTGCTAGGCAACCTAACTGATGCAGTGCAAAAGAAGTTCTTGAATCTGTCATGGATTTAAAACATTTGTCATTCGAAAAAACCCAAAGCTTCTCAAAAAGCTTCATTACCATGCAGCCCCAGTAATTTAATTCAGTACTTACTGTTTTTCTATAATCTAGCGGCAAAACATCAGATTACCAACATGTTTGATTATTTTCGGCTTCTGTTTCCTCAAGCATGGTGTTTATTTCTTTGCATATTACGCTCTGCAAGGGACTCGTGTCCACCAAGCTAAACAAGGGAATCGGAATATTAAGGCGAAAAGGTTCTGCGAAGCCTCCCACCCTAAATTTCTTGCTAGGATGAGCTGATCCTTTCAGTTCCGTTCCTAATGACAGTGGTCCCCGGGCAGGTTCCTAAACAATTGGCAGAAAGCTAATGAGAAAAACTTGTTGATCTGAGAGGTTCCTCTTCCAAATTGTTGCATTTTGATAAATGGCAAAAATGAATAATAGAAAATTAGCATTCTGAGGGAGGAAAAAAAAATACATATTCTCTCCGAGATTGTTTGCTGTCTGGGGGTTGTTGATTTTTGACTGCTGTGTCATTCCCTGGTTTTTAGTTCCTGCTGGCATCTGTCACTCAGAGGCAATGTTCTCAGAGTTCCTGTTGTGTTTTTAGCTGTGTTTCAAAGTCGAAGTTTTATTTACCTGATAAGTCCTTCGAGTTCTTGCTGTTCAGGGTTGTTCCCACTTTGTGCCTTTCTGAGTGTACCTCGTGGAAAAGGCTGGATGGCATGAGTGTGTGTTTGTATCTGAGAATATTTGGGCTAATAGATGGTCATTTAATGAGCACATCTTTGGTGAAAACCAGGCCACTATCTCAGTGTGCGCACGCTCGCTCGCTCTCTCTGTCTGAGCTGGTTTTTCCTTTGCCTCGTCATTATACTTCTGGCTGGAATTGGGTGCTTGTGGGAGATTATCGGCATAGCATTTGGGGCTCTATATTTAATGTTCTGCATTTTTATCTATTTTATTATGTAACTTAAGAGCAGCTTTCCAAATTCATCTTCACCAAATTTTTTTTTTTTAAGCAGGCATTTTTCTAGGTTGGTTGAAGAAATCCGTCAGATAAAACATTGCCTCACCAGATCTTTTTCATGCACTGAAAGTTCCCCTGTTTATTAGTCATTGATTTACATAGTCCTTCTATAAAATGCTAGCAACTTTTGAAGTCATACATTTAAGAAAAAGATAAATGGTCCCAAATTAAGTGTTGCCTGGAAAAGAATCCTCAAACTGCTTTTCTTGGTATTTCAGATAGGCAGCTGTACATTTTTTCATCTGTGTTTTTGTCATTTTTTCCCCAAAAAATGACATGCCATTGTAAACTGGTTTCATTTGCTGCAAAAATAACAGTTTATAATGATTGGAAACAAAAGAGTCGGAGGTTTAGAGCAAAGGAGTGTTCCAATATGTACCATAACAATGAATTTAAATTATATTAAAGATGCTGAATTTTTAAAAGAGAATCCTGTTGCTGTCAGATTCAAGTGGGAGCTTGGCCACTTTGAAAATTATTGCTGACTTTTAAGAGAAAATATAAAATATGGAGATGAAATAATCTCCATATTCCAAAAGCAGCAGCCCAAGAAATAACTCGAAGCCAGTGATTTAAAGCTTGAGTGTCCGTCAATCATGCAGATGGCTTTTCCCCTTTCTCTGGCGATTAATTCACCATCTTCCCCGAAACAAAAACACCCTTTTTGAAATTAGAGATCCGATCATCAAGAGAAGCACCTAAGATTTCAAGGTCTAAACAAAAATTAATTTATTTTCTTTCCTCCTTGTACTTCTTGAAGACACAGACTGAGAAGAAAATCGGGATTAAAAGAGATGTGCTTAGGATGGATTCATCTGCTTAAACCTCACAGGCTCGGGGATGAGTGATTAAAAAGCCATCTCGAACTTGGATGGCATCCACGTTGCGAGTAATACCGCGTCCGTGGGCCCCCGTGTCACTGTGAACCAGGCCCGGGGAACATTTGACGGGAGATGATACATGGATTATATAGGTCAATTATACACTTAATCTGCCTTCTGGGGGATTAAGTATTTGCAGATTGACTCTGCATTTGGTTTCTCCGTGGCAGTTATCAGATCAGGAAAGGGCCCCTCACCAAACCGCCTCGTAAGCGCTTAATCAGGCAGCCTGGTCAGGCTCTGATGGGGCTGCCTGCTCTGTAGTCCCCTGCCTGGCACAGATTTTAATTTGCTGTTCCATTATCGAATCATATATTTGTCCACTTTATGTGTCAGCACAATAACTGAGTGTGAATATGTCCCTTTAATTTGAAAAATGGAAACCTCTGCCTGTTAGAATATATTTGCTGTCCTTCCACGTGAAGCGTCCGATAAGCTTATTTTTAATAACCTGATTGAATTACAGGAGCATTACCCATGTGAACACATCTCAATCAAA